AGGCGTTGTGCAGGTTAATTTTTGTCAGCTACTGCGCCCGCGACAACCTTCGGTCATCATGACTTCTGAGAAGAATGAAACAAGCTTTATATATATTTTTATATAAAGGAACTGCAATGGGGTTGAAAGACATTGACGAAGGGCATCCAAGGGATCAATGGTGCGGAGAAGATTATAAAAATAAGTTTTGATAAAATGGACTTGAGCGGAATACTGGGTTAGAGTACAATAGTCAGTGGAAAGCAGAGGGAGTCCACTGGAAGAGATGCAAATGGCGATCAGTCAGTAGGGCCAGACGGTTTCCTCTGTCGATGGGACAAACGTCAAGAACGGGTGACTGATTGCTGGAATTAGGTGGGACAAGGGTTTGAAGACGAGACCCATCCGTACAATTCCACAGTAGAGCGCCATTTGAATCATCATCACCAGCAACGGCGAAAACATCTGAATCGGGGAAAAGGGAGACAGAATGGGGCGGGAGGAAAGGAGGGGCTTTAAATCGGGCTACATGAAGTTTTATGAACTAAAGTACTGCGGCAATTACAGCAGGCACGAAAATGTGGGAAAAACTCGTAGAAAGCTGTATTTAGGCTTACAGACAGAAAGTTATATTTCCACATTGTGGGTTGTCAGCTTTTGGTCATAGATATTCTTACGAATCCTCTAAACAGTATGCATTCTCCATTAACTTTCTAAGAAAGCGTAAATTTAATCCATTTTCCTGGAGAGGATGCGCCGGAAATGAAAGTTCAACAGGACGCGATTTTCTCAAAATGGTATTCTGGGTGTTTTCATTAGGAAATAAAACCAAATACAGATCAACCCAAAAAATACAGACCCCTTAAACTTTCCGGTAACAGTCTCGACTCTATATCGAATGGTACCCGTGAATTGGATAAATGGTATACTGACTCAATATCGAATTCAAGAAATTAAAATAAAACCATGAAAGATAGGCCTTTTCCACATATTTTTAAACTCACGGTATCCACTAGGCCAAGAAACAGCCACATAACACCAGAAATAAACTTACTAAAAATGAACTAAACTTAAGAAAAACGATACCCAGACTAATAAAACTAAACAATAAACTAAAGTAAAAACTGGACTAAAACTAATAAAACTAAAAGCGACCACAGGACGCTATAGATATCTATGTGGGGAGTGCAATTAGGATGGACTGTGGTACCTTGGTGATGAGGAAACGTGCCTACTACGAAATAAGCATGCAGTTATACGAAGTAAGCGTAGTAAGCCCGAAACGCGACTGTCACCGACTTTTCTAACTGTAGTTAACGCAGGCGACTGCAAACCTTCAAAACGGGAAGCTAGTGTTACAGGG